CCATATCGCCTGCTTAGTATGATTAAGAATGTCAGCGACATAATTTCTATGAACTCTCTACTTGTAAACCCCTTTAAAAGTAACTGGCCTGCCTGCCCTTGATGAGCAGTTTTGGCAGCAGCAGCTCTGACTGACTCCATTTCCTTGTACAACGAAATAAAGGTTCCTTTCCTGTTCTCCCACCTCAGTCTCTTGCTTATTGGCCAATACGAGTCATGCCGAGCAAGAACCTGGGGTTTCTACCCAGTAACAATCTTTACAGAAGCAAACTGCCACATCTTTCTCCTGCATAGTGCCTGATGAGTTCAAACTACAAACCTTTTGGTTAGCAACCGAGTGCTTAACCACCAGGGCTCTTTTCTGGAACATAAATACTTTAAATGATGTTTGGTATAATTTAAATATTAAGTGTATTTTTATCATACTAGAATTTTTAACTGCGTGAATTCATAAGCAAAGTGCATGAAAGATTTAAAAAATAATTTGAGTAATTAGTTAGAATTCTCCATTTTCAACCATGCCAGGTAACTAAACATTTGCTATAATTTGCACATTGATATATGTTATGGGCTGCTATTTCACATATGATAAAGAAAATATAATTCTTGTTGATTTTATTGTCACTTTACACATTATTAATCTCTTTCTATGCAAAACTTGAATGTACCTGCAGTTTGCTTTATTTTCCATTGGAAAGACACGGTACACATTTACCAAGTAGCACTACTTGGAAACAATGTCAATATCATTGGACAAAACAAATCCTTGACTTAAAATGCCTTTTCTCTCATTTTTAAACATTCCATATACATTCCTCTCTTTCTACACCTATATTCATTTATATATACTTATCAATGAATAAAAGAAAATTTCAGTAAAAAAAAAAAAAAATCACTGTAGATTAAACCCTGTTAGTATGTTGATATACTGTCCTTAAAATTAGAGCTTCTTGGTTAAGTCGTGGTTTTAGCACAGAGAAATATCCTTGGACGTATTTCTTAAAAACAAATTTTTCTCCTTGAACAGATGATGAACTCTTAGGGGAAACTGACTGGATTTGTCATAAGAGTCTACCAATACAAGTTAATGACTGAGTATAATTTCAATTAAATAGTTAATTTTGTTAACATGAAAAAAATGTATACTTTGTTAGCTTAGCATTCGTAGTGCTTTAAAAAAGAACTGTCCACCATTTCCTTCCTCAAAAATAACAAGATTAAAATGAACATTTATTCAGTGAAATAAAATTATTGGTGTATAAAAACAAGTATATAAATGACTTCACTGATGAGCTTAGGAAATAAATTAGGATGAAAGTCATGTACTTGGAGATTCAGTATATAGTTTACTTGTTAATTTTAAAGGCGAAAGCCCCAAATAATTAAAAAAAGGAAAAGATAATTGAAAGGGAAGTAAAAATAAGTTAAATTGGTCACCTGTACCCTAACAAATTACAGCATTTTTAAATCGTGAAAACCACCAACCAAAATACACTGTTACATATTCTGCAGCAAACTCACATCTGTCCAAGCTCAGACAATTTGTTTGGCATAATAAGGAAAAGGGAAAGGGAAATTATCTCTTCTGCTCACCTGGCTTCATAGCTTCCTTTCCAAGGTTTTCCTAGCACTGTAGAACGCTTCAATTATTTTCAGAATCTCAGAGACACTCTCTACATACTCCTGTGACCCTCTTGGATTCTTTCCTTTAAAAAAAAAAAAAATAGTTACAGATTGCTTGAATTAAATAGCTTCAACCGTTTGTCCCTAACCTTACCATCCTTCTATATACTTTCACCAAGAAATTATATAGAAAAGAAAATTAGAAAATTAGATTTTCTTAGTGAGTCTGGGAAACTCTAGATGCATTCTGCCAAGGAGTGGGCCAGAATTGGAACTCTCACCTCCAAGCATCTGATCTAGCAGAAGAAAAGTATGCCCTCCCTCTTCCTCCCCACATTGGCCCACCCCGTTATTAGCCAATGAACAGTTCTTTGACGTAATGTTTCTTGGCCTTGACATATTCTCCGCTAGCTTCCCCAGCTACATCAAAAATGCTGAACAAGTAAGTGACATACTGTTTGTTTGAGATAACCAAATGTTCAACATAACCAAATAATATGCTGCTGTTGTTTCTGAAAACATCCCAAACACAAACAGGTTCTAAAACGTAATTGTACAGGTGCACGTTCTTTAGTACTATAATTCCATACAGTAAATCTTTTACGAGATAATTCCTTAATACTGTGTTTCAGAAATGAATTAATTCATCATGACTTGGATAGAAATTCTAGGGCAGAAATCAAACAATAATGAAAGGATCGTATACAAAGGATTTTTATAAATGCTTCTAAATTACAAGAGAAAAAGGAAACGTTCTCGTTTGATATTAAGGAAGTGACATTAAGTTGATGTTTAACAACATTATTAAAAACAATTTAATTACTGTTGATTGCATGGAAACAACACTTCAAGATTTCAGGTATTTATCAAGATACAGTTTAAAAATAATTCAATAAAATGTTTCATAATATAGAAAAATCACATTTATTATAGAATATTCTAGAACATGCATTACAGAAAACTTGTTTTAAATAGCCAACTGTTTAAAGAATGTCTAAGCATTTCCACCGGGGGTTTTCAGACTGCGTTTTTTGGAGCTGTAGGGGTTTTCCCCTTACAATTGCCTCTGTATAGTACATATTGGCATCTATAGAGTAGTTTTACACTCCTGTATTATATCATATACACCTATACACTCTTGCTCCCTGGTAATCTATTCTCCACACAGCAGTTAGAGGGAAACATTGGAAAATTGAACATTATCACTAATCTGCTCCCCCTCCAAAGGAAACGTGCTGGATATCTGTGTGCATTTCTTAGGTTAGTCCCGTGATTATCGTTTCCTTCTTGCCCTTGTAGGGTAAAGGATTTAGCTTTACCCAAAGTAAGGAGGTCTTTGTCCTTGGTTCCTGAGAAATAAACTTGGAGTAGTTGGGATGCCTTGGCCTGGGATTTACAGGGGATAGGCTTGGTTCTAGGTTTAAAGAGTGTCTCAGGGCGTCTCTCAGGGACAAAGGAAAACTACCACAAAAGGTGTTCTAGGCTGTAATCTATCCTGGAGCAGATCATCGGGTCTTTTCTCCAGGGGAGCCGCTGGGTAGGTTCGAACCACCAACCTTTTGGTTAGCAGTTGAGCACTTGAACTGTTGTGCCACCAGATATATTCATATCACAGTACAGTTGTTGCTGATGTCTTGAAATATTGTTTATAGTCCCCATTACTTTAAATTGCCATATTTATTAGAGCTGATGTTAGATGTGCTGGTAGATTGCAAGTGATTCCAGAACTTTTCTAGGGCCTTCATGCCACTCAGCTGGCTGAATAACGCCACAGTTCTGTGCTCTTGGTCAATCACAAAGACGCTGTGAAGGTGGATGTTTATACATTGGTTCTGACGTCTTCATTGTTTTATAGTATTCCCAAAATACAACTGTCCCTTGACCAACAACATGTGAAATGAGGTGATTTTTCCCCCCTTGGATAATGGTGTTTTGTTATGATTTCTTGATGTAATTAATCTAATCTAGTGTGTTTAATTTTATGCATTTAGAAATCCCGTTCTAAGGAGGGGTCCATAGGCTTCATCAGACGGTCAAAGGTGTTCATGGCACAAATCAGGGAAGAAATCTTGAGGTAGAGGAATAAAAGGGTACATATGAAGCACTAGAATCTGGCCTATGTGAAATGTTCAATAAACAGCTGTTGTTCTTAAAATGTGGGCTTTCAGAGAGCAGGAATGGAATTAAATCCTATTCATTTTTGCATTCACAGTGTCCAATACAATGCTTTGTTGCTCAATGCATGCTAAATGAACTGAGTGGTATCTCGGTTGGGTCCTCAGGCCCCCAGATGGGTCTGCAAGGAACAGCTGTGAAGTTGTGGGGCCGCTTCTCAGCATCCAGGGGGCTCTGGGGGTAACTGTTAGAGAACTTTAGAGGGCTCAATATGCAACACATAGCTGTGTGGCTAAAAATGTCCCAATGGGGTAGAGATTGCCAGTATCTAGAGGGACCAGGTCCTTATTTATTTCTCAAAGCTTTCCCTATCTTCTATGAAGGCAATTAAGTCTGTCTAAAGCTTCAGGTAGTGGTAGACTAACAGGGACCTAGTACATTCCTAGAGCCCTGGCCATGCAGTGGTTAAGAGTTTCCTGCTAACAAAAACGTCAGCAGTTCAAATCCATCAGCTGTTCCTTGGAAAACTTATGGGGCAGTTATATCCTGTTCTATAGCGTGGATGAGTTGGAATGGACCCCAAAAGGCAACGGTTTTGGTTTTTTGATACAGGGTCAATATGAGCTGGAAAAGAGCAGATGGCAACCGTTTGGGTTTTTTTGGTTGTTTTAGTATATTCCCAAAGAGCCCTGTTGGCCCAGTGGATAAGCTCTCGGCTGCTAACCAAAACGTCTGGGTTCAAACTCACCACCCACTCCGTGGGAGAAAGATGCGATGCGGCAGTCTGCCTCTGTAAAGATTACAGCCTTGGAAACCCTATGGGGCAGGTCTACTCTGTCCTATAAGGTCGCTATGGATTGAAATCAACTCAACGGCAATAGGTTTTTGTGATGTTTTAGTATATTCCTAGGACCTACCATTGATTTTAAGTAGCCCTGGTGGCGCAGTGGTTAAAGCCATCGACTGCTAGCCAAAAGGTTGACGGTTTGAAACCACCAGCGCTCCACGGGAGAAAGATGTGGCAATCTGCTTCCATACTGATTGATAGCCTTGGAAACTATAGGATCGCTATTAGTCAGAACTGACTGACGGCAGTGGGTTTGGTTTTTTTTTAAATATTGGTTTTAGTGGCAGGCCAGCCCTGGCTTAGCTCAGAGGGCAGGGGAAGCCGCGCACACCAGCCCTGCGGGGAGCTGCGGGCTGGGACGCCCCGCGGCGCGCACGGACCCGCGTCCTCGCCACGCCCACTTCCTGCCCGGTCCCGGGCTTTTCCAGGACCCTCTCGCGGTGAACCGGATGCTCTGCCAGTCTCCTCCTCCGCGTCCTCGACCGCCGCCCGCGCTCCTCGCCAAGCCGCTGCTACCCCGCGGGCCCAGCCCGGGCGCTGGGCAGTTGGTCCCGGCAGGTCGGGACGCCGGTAGGAGCTGGGCACGCACGGCTACCGCGCGTGGAGGAGACACTGCCCTGCGGCGATGGGGGCCGGGGGCGCTCCTTCACGCCGGAGGCAGGCGGGACGGCGGCTGCGGTACCTGCCCACCGGGAGCTTCCCCTTCCTCCTCCTCCTGCTCCTCCTGTGCATCCAGCTCGGGGGAGGACAGAAGAAAAAGGAGGTAGAGTGAAGCCCCCCGGCCTTTCCCTGTGGTCCAGGCGGGCCGGGGCGGGCCCCGTTGCTAGGCAGCGCGGCTGCGTTGCTAGGCAGCCGGGCCGCGGGCGTGGGCGGTGCGCCGCTGGGCGGGAGCCGAGCTCGTGGGCGGCTGCGGGGCGAGTTGGCGGCCCAGCCGTGTGGTTGTACCCTGTCCTCGGGTGTGAGGTTACCCGGTGGTTACTCAAAAACTCCGAAGCCTCCCCTTGGCTCTGCACTTTTCAAATCTCGGGTGCTTAATACCCTGAGCTGGAGGCTGAGCTTTGGGTACCTTGTGTCACTAAAACAAGTGTGTTGGTTGTGAAAATACCCTTCGAAGAATTTGTAAATCTTCAGGAACTTTGTCCTTTATATTCATTGCTCTGCCGTCTGCGTTGTACATTTCAAGGGTCAACAGTACGTTGAGAATGTGCTTTTAGTCGTGTTCTTAATTATACATTTTTTAAAAAGCTTTATGTTCATTTTTCTTTGGATTGAACTGAGAGTATAATTGCGAGAAAAAGCTGTGTTATGCAAGTTTATTTATGAAATTCAGATCACCTGATTTCAATTTAGTCCACTAATAGCTTTGGTGAAGGCGAGTTTTAACGTGAACGACCTAATTATTTAAAGTAGTTGTAAAGTCATTTATGAGTTTCAGCTATCCATCAGTACCATGGATGGATCTAACAGCATCCGAAAAAAAGTTGTTTTGGAAATGTGACTCAAGTATGGTAAGAGTACTGTACTCTCTTTATGCATTTTAGGATGATTTTTTTTTCCTAGTGAAATTATACACCCACACGTGGCTTGAAATCTGAATGGGGCAAAAATATTACCACAACTTTCTTAATATCTGGGTAAGCCAAACAAACCAAATTGCTATAGAGTGGATTCCGACTCATAGCGATCCTGTAAGACAGACTAGAATTGCCCCATAGGGTTTCCAAGGAGCAGCTAGTGGATTCCAACTGCCAAGGTTTTGGTTAGCAACCGAGCTCTTAACCACCATGCCACCAGGGCTCCAATAGCTGGGTAGAGAAAGCAAAAGGGAGAAAATAGCCTGACATGCAAAGTAATTCTGATTCTCTTCTTCACCCACCTGAAAGAGCCCTGCACTCAATATTAACTCCTTCCTTTTACCTTTTTTATTGTCGTGAAGGCAGCCCATCTAAAATTCTTAAAGTTCTGGTAAGAGATTAGAGAAGTTCTGCTGTTAAATTAATTTTATTTACAAATATAAATTAAAAACATATTTCTTAGCACTTGGTATTTATGTGCTGCCTCCCAAGAATTTTAGGTATCATGGTTATTTATGAGAAAGGTAGGAGATGGAAAAGTAGTAAGTTTTTTGTGGATTATCAGAGCAGACGGCAATAAAAAATGATGAGAAACTCCATAGCAATTCTAATGTTTTATTTTCTAGAAAGATCACTGTGACCACACTAACTTTCAGTTAAAGGAAATAATATTCTGAAATGTGTACATGTTCATAGCATCTCCAAGCGTCAGACTGTTTTAACATGTGAAAAGATTTAATTCAGTGTAATTGAATATAGATTACAGCAACATCTCTTTCTATTATTTTTTTTTTACAAAAGAAATTTTAAAAACGGAAAACTAGGGAAAATACTGAGGATCATAAAAATGATGTTTTCGAAAACTACTTTTATTTCTCTTAAACAGTTGAACCTACTAATAATGTATAGTGGCATTGCAGTATACACATATTTTAGTTAAGGACAAGAGAGCAAAATAACAACTTAAATAGTTGAAGATTTGACACTTTATGAACCTGTTTAACCTCTGAAATGTAGACCTTCTGTATCTGGTACTCCTTCCAGTGCTGGAAGAAAAACATCTTGTATTGGAAATACTGAGAAGTGGTTGGTTGCCGATATGGCACTTTTCTAGGGTCTATATAGAGGGTGGAGCCCTGGTGGTGCAGTGGTTAAGAGTTCACTGCTAACCAAAATTAACAGCAATTGGAATCCACCAGCCACGCCTTGGAAACCCGATGGGACGGTTTTACTCTGCCCTATGAATCAGGGATTGACTCGATGGCAACAGGTTTGGTTTTTTGTTTTATTTAGGGGTTTATTTTGACCATATTTGGAGCCCTGGTGGCACAGTGGTTAAAGTGCTCGTATGGTAACCAAAAGGTTGGCAGTTTGAACCCACCAGCCACTCCACGGGAGAGAAATGTGGCAGTCTGCTTCCATAAAGATTTACAGCCTTGGAAACCCTATGGGACATTTCTACTCTGTCCTGTAGGGTCTCTGTGAGTTGGAATTGACTCAGTGACAGTAGATTTGGTTTGGTTTTTGACCATATATGGTTTGTTTCTTCCTTGCTAACTTTAGAACTTGATGCCCAGTATAAGATTTTGGCATCATTGTACCAAGAAGTATAGCCGTTAGAAGAATTTACCAGAATAAATATTACTGACACGTATACCAGAATAGTTGACTTGGCAAGAACAGTGTATTCTTTCCTTCTGGGAAAGCCAAATTGAAGTTGAGCCTGGAATCAAGAATGGAAACTAGTTGCTTTTAAGGAAGTAATGGTTATGACAGTAATAGTTAGCACCATGGATTCAGATGGTCCAGTTACAGGTTCCAGACTAAAAACTCAAACCTGTTGTCGTCGAGTCGATTCCAGCTCTTAGCAACCCTATAGGACAGAGTAGAACTGCCCCACAGGGTTTCCAAGCAGCAGCTGGTGGATTGGCACTGCCAACCTTTTGGTTAGCAGCCAAGCCCTTAACCACTGTGCCACCAGGGATCCAGTTACAGGTTATCCCTTATCTAATTATATGACCTTGGGCAAACCACTTAACCTCTCTTGAAATTTAGTTTCTTCATTTTAGCTTTGTGCAGTGTGTAGAACATAATACATGCTCGGTAATTGGTAGATGTGTGTGTGTATTTGTATGTTATATGTATGTTTGTATGTACGTTTGTACGTTTGTATGTGTGTATATATATATTTTTGTTTCTTTATGAAGATATTTTCATTCATTGAAGGTAATTAGTTTTGTCATACTCTCTGTTTAAGGATATAGTCAGGAGAATTAGTTAACTGCTAGATAAAGAAGATTGAGAGATTTTTTAGTCACTTTCCTTAATTATATTGAATACAATCATTAAAAATTAATGTTTGAATCCTCGTGTTAAGTGACGTGCGTTTATGGGTGATTTTGTCTGCTTTGATGTATATCTGTGTTCTAGGGCATCATGTGTTTTCTTTATTTTGGTGGTTTCTCTGTTTCTTATTTCATTAACAGTTACCGGTTAATCAGCTCCATTTAGAATTACTTTAATTTTTAATGACCTTTTCTGGTAATGTGAAAGAGCTCAAATTCTATAATGATGAGCAGTAGACTAACTGATGTCATAGCATCATCAAAAGCAGCTGTTATCAGAATAATTTGTCCTATCTGCAAAGAAAACTATTAACGAGAAGCCATACCATGTAGGTAACAATGAACATCCAGAATTTTTGGAAAAACTGATCAGCTCATAAACATTTTTTGAGAAAGAAGTAAAATGTTTGCCTAAACGGAACATATGCTCTAACATAACTTCCATGTCGTTAATGCTTTTTCAGCACGTTTTACACCAAGATGTATACATCAGTTATTTTTGGTGGCATAGTCATGAGCTTTTACAATCTTAGCAATTGATTGAAAGAGAGGATGAAAGTCAGCAATGGAACTTAAATGAAAGAAAATGTTTGCAAACATATGAAGACAACTTTAAGAAATGCATAGTAATTATGCATTGATATCTATACACGTATGCACTGATTATGCTGTGTCAGGCAGCTGTCTCACCCAGGTTGGATTAGATGTGTGAAATCTCCCAGAAGAGTGATTGGAAGTGACAGGTCTTAAGTACAGTGGCCAAAAGCTGCTTGTCAGGAACGGTGAAGGGTTAGCCTGCCGCAGTTTCACAGATAATGACAGAAGATCTCTATGTCAGAGATGAAGGACAGTGTTCTACTCACAGCAATAGAATTGCCAGCATATCAGCATTTGCCCTGGTTCCTTGAGCTTCGATTCCCATAGGCAGCATGAAGAGGGCCGGATGACACCTATACATTTAGTGAGTTGTGTAACGGGAGAGGAACCTCAAGCTTAGGGAAACCAAACCTTTTATATTGGGCAGTAATCTTGTCTGACCTTTGCCCTTTAGGGAGAAATTATTAAACTAGAAAGTAAATAAACTTACTCCTTGTTCTGGTGGGGGGTACTATCTTCCAAGGCTGTGTGCTATACAAACGTCCTTGAAAAGATGATCCAGAACAAAGTCAGTCAGTACTGCTGTTTGCAAGATGCCCAGAAACCATGAAGAATTGTCTCCCTAAGTAAGAGAGAGTACCTTTGTCAAAAGAGGACATTTTCAGGATAGTTTCCTTCACTTACAGATACCACCAGTACGTTCAGTCCCATATATGTGCTGTGTTCTACAGGTAAGACACAAAGGGAAAGAGCAGAAACAGTTAACTTGAGCCACACTGATCCACAGATTCATTGACTTTTAACATTTTGCCACATTTACATAATTATATTCTCTCTAGCACTAAATACTTAGTGATTTTAGATGTGTTTGTGCTCTGTATGCCTGTGATGGTTACCTTAGTAGTCTCTGGGGTTCATTTAGTGTATCAGACTATTTCATGACTGCTTCTTGACATAAGAATCTCCCCTGGAGCATTGTGTTCATTCCACCAAACTAGAAAACTTCCCTTTTGATTAAGTCTAGGAATAGCTGTGTTCCCCTCCTAGAAGGGTAGATGATGAACAAATGTATGTCTGTTATATAATAATGTGTGTGCATGTGTGCAACAAATGGATAAGATTTCTGCCTCCATCCAGCTTCTATTTCTATCTATTGGACAACATTTCAGCAGCTTCTCAAATTGAGCATAGCTAAAAGGGAACTCTTAATCCTTCCCTCTGCCCATCTGGTCCATCTGTTTTCTTAT